AGGCCCGGAGTCAGGGAGAGGAAAAAAGGGAGGATATAAAATAAGGGAAGAGGGACGGGGAGCAAAATAGAAGGGGAAAAAAAAATAACTGAGAAGTGGTCCAGAGAGGAGCGGAAATAAAACAAGGAAGGAGGGAGTGGAGGAAAGAAGAGAAAAATGAATGCCCCGGAACGGAATACCTAGGAAGTGGGGGAGACAGACCTTAGAGAACAACATAGGAGGGTAAGAGGATGAAGGGTCAGGTGGGAACGGGTGACCCCACAGAGGTAAAATAAATTTATAAATAACATCACTCCTGCTGCAGGAGGGCCAGTGTTTTTCAATGGAGGCCATTCACCTGGATGCATTTTGCACCACAGGCTGCTCCAGAGACCCGGTGGTGTGGTGCCAGTGGAGGAGGCGCAAGCGTCTGGAGGGGGGCACGGAGCCCTCCGGCTAGCCTTGCGCCCCTCCTGGGGTGGCCAGGCCTCCTCCAGGGTGCCAGGGCCTGGCTGGGAACCCATCCCTCACATCTCAGCTGCCCCTACCAAGGCCACTCGTGCCGGCCCTTCCCTTCCTTGCTGACAGCCAAGTTAGCAAAGTTTCTCTGTCGCTTCTCCGGACCCAGGCAATGGCTCCAAGTCCAATTCGAGCAGCAGCCTTTTCTGCGGCTGCTCTGGAGGCGCCTGCCCTGGCCTCCTGGGATCTCCGGGGTCCAGATTCCTGGCCAGATGCAAATCCCTCCCCCTGGGGACACCAGGCCAGGCACTTGGATGTCCATGCAGCTGCTAATCCCGGGGAGAGAGAGAACGAGGAAGAGAGAGAGGGGGAGAGAGAGCGAGAGAGAGAAGAAAAAAATATTCTCAGCTCAATTTAAGTCTCATGGAAAGGGCTTACAACTGTAATTAAATCATTAAATTCTTGTCTACGCTTCACAGAGCGGAGAGAAATTAACTTCCCACCAACCTCATTTTCTATTTGAACATGAAATAATGATTTTCTGCCCGTCTAATTACAAAGCCAACATCTGATCAAGCCGGCATCCAGGGGGGATTATCGCATGCACGAGTATTAGACCTCATTACCAGCTTGAGTGCAAAATTATTACATCTTGTAATTGGATGGTGAGATTTATATACAGATCGGCCCGGTTTCTGTAAGATTGTAATTACAAGCTTCGTTGGTTAGCTACTTATCAGAACTTTGCAGGAAAACAAAACAAATGACTGAGGAAAACGAGCATTTCATTAACCTGTAACCCGAGCGCGGGGGGAGGGAGCGGTGGGAGCGTGCGCTGCGAGGCGCAGGCGTCTGCAGAAAGCGCAGGGCTCTCTGGGCCGCCCCGCAGCCCCGGGATCTCAGGCCTGCGAGGGAAGGATGGAAGGGGGGCCTCCTCGGAGAGATCCAAGGCTGCGGCCGGCGAGGCGGGGTGAAGAGGGGGCAGACAGACGGTGGGCCTGGTGATTCGCGGCTCTCCTGTGCGGAGCCTGGCGCAGCCTCAAGGGCCTTGGTTTTCCGTCCGGGATCCGGATGCGCATCCCGCCTGCGCCAGTGTGCGCGAAGCCTGTGCTCTGGGCCCCTTCTGGGTGCTCTCTCCACACTCAGGGACGCGCTGAGGGAGCCTCCACCGCAAGCCTCGGGTGCGCTTCGTGCGCTGGGAACGTTGGAGGAAGGCAAGGTGATGAAGAAGGGTTTGCGGACCGCGCATCTGCGCACCAGCCTTTTCCAAATCCACTTCCCAGTGCACCTGCTTCTCTGCCCTGGGCGAGCGTGTCCCTTTGACCCCATCTCTTGGATTAAAAAGCCCCGGAAAAAAGGGTCCGCTTGTCCTCGGCATTGAGAGTTGAGTCCTGAGCCAGGCTCCACGGGTCCAGTGGAGTTGGGGAGCCAGCGCCTCCTCGGGGTTCGGCTGCCTGGGACGCGGAGTCCTGGCGTGGGGCTTGGATGATCCTAGCTGGAGGCGAGGTTGGTGGAAAGGCTGCGTCTTCTTGGGACCTGGGCTGCCTGGAGAGATGGAAACCATCCAAGGTCCTGGGCCCCCAATTAGGTCTGGGTCTGAAGGTTCACCCTCGAGGCCAAGGCCGGCCCCTCTCCCGCGGGGCTGGTGCCCTGAGCACAGCCTCATCCCTTCCTTGGCTTCGTCCCCGCCTCCTGCAGGCCAGCGCAGCCAGGTCCGAAGCTGATGGATGCCCACATCTCCAGGGCTCAGTTTCCTCTTCCTCCTGGAAGGGCTGAGTTCAATTTCGGGCATTGCATCTGGGCACGTCCAGCGCAGCTCCAGTCTTCCTGCCTGGGAATCTCGCTCTAGGAGCAGACCTGGTCAGCGCAAACTCTAGAGGGCTTCAGGGCCATTGAGGCTTGAGTCTGACCCCTGGGGAACCCTCTGGGAAGTGAAGGATGCCAAAGTTACCCTCAGTGTTGAACCCCCAGATTTTCCCCGAGGCAGTGAGCTCAGGATCCCCTATGCCACTTCTCAGAGAGTTTTCACTGGAAACGAAATCAGGCGCGGGAAAACACGTCCAAGCCAGACTGCCCCCCAAGTACCTCCTTCTTCAGGGGCGACTCCGGCTGAGGCCAGCTGGGGTGCCCAGCAGCATCAGATGGGGAGGGGTCAGGGGAGCGGCTGGACCCCACTTGAGAAGGCCACAGGCCAGTTTCCCCAATGGAACCCTGCGCCTGATGGCCCCCAAACTTTCCCTCGTCCTCCCCCGCCCCCAGTGTCCTAGGCTCCCCACCTCCTGGGGTGGCCTCCCTGCGCAAAGACTGGTGGGAAGAGGACTGGCGTGGGGGTGGGGTGCACACTCAGTGCCCCGAGAATTCATTCCCTAACTGGGCTCCCGAGAGCGGTGGAGACCCCAGACAGCCGGAGCCAAGACCCTCCGACCCGACCCCATGCGGGAACTGGGATGCGATTCCTCTCTCCATCAGCGCGCGGTGGCCAGTTGCCGCCTCGGAGCAGCGCCAGCGTCTCCG